TGCACACACGAGGCTGTTGGAAATACCATGACTTGGGTGCCCCAAGTCCTCAAAGGGACATCTTTGCTCGCTAGCATTTTCAAGAGGCCTTTTGCAACAGATTTGCCTAGTGCAGTAAGTCATTTGATCTTTTGACTGCTTCGTCCATGGATGCCCATGATGGATTTAAGTAAAATGAAATCCTTGAAATTTTCCGTCTTTTTTCTATTTATCATGCTATTGCTTATTGGTCCAGTTGGGAGGATTTTGTTTTCTTTAGGTTGGATTGGATTTCATCAGAGTTGCCTAACCATGTTAAGTCTGCACTTGCACAGTGCTTCTAAAAACATCACTTATACCAGAAAGAAATGTGTTGTATTCTTTTGCAGAGTGGCATTTAATCTTCCTTTTTCTTTTGGTAGGCGAGCGTTTGTTTTTACAGTGATGAACCATTCATTGATTGGCTTCCTTGCATACCTCATTCTAAAAGAACAAGAAGTGTTTCCTCGGAGATTATAACCTTTCTCGTTGACTTAGAGCGTAAAAATGGAGTTTACTTCCTCTCTTCCAAGGTAGGCCTGCTATTCCTGAGAGGACTGCTCTTGATCCCAAGTCCTACCAAAAAGAAAATTCACCTTTGCAAAAGCTGTTGCCACATTTTGGTTGTCTCTGGCAACAGAGTCTGATAAAGTTGACTTTAGCAAAATTGTTTATGGTTAGTAATAAAAGGTAGGACCCTTTTCAGGTTTCTTGCCTCTGACCCTCTGCCCTTTAGTTTGATGCTGGTGGAAAATAGGGTGCTGCACGCATCATGACTCTCCTTGGCTGATGCTCCAGGAGAAAATGAGTGCAGTTTGGTCTGTACATAGTTAAGGTTCAATAAAATGGTTAGTTTAAGTGAACAGCAATTGAAACGAATAATTGTTGGTCTCTTTTTCTATTCCAAAGACTCTAAACAATAGCTGGGAATTAGAATTCATCTTAGAGCCATCCCCAAAATACATTAAGATTAGCCCCTACACCCAAGATTACATATGATCCAGTAAAAACAGGGTAAGGCCCGGGTACTCCCATTTTTAAGAAGTCGTTCAGCAGGACAGTAATAAGCACGGATATTGGAGTCTGTGTGCCAAGTGCAAATGATGGCTCCCTGTTAAGTCTGCCAGTGTTCCTTAGTATGGAACTATGTGCAAAGCATTTAGTCTCTTGGACTTCACTTCCATCTTCCATAAAATAAGTGTAGGGGAGAGGGGCAGAGGAAGAAGGTATCGATGTTGGCTGATCTCTTCTTAATCAAAACCCAAGTCATTGGAAACTCTAAAAATTATAACTAGAATACGGGGAAAATTTGTATGATCTAATCATGCATTCTGTATCTGTTTCTAGAGAAAGACCTTTGTCTCTGTGAACACGGTAACAAATAATCTGCCAAGCATGCGGAGAAAATTCCCGGCTTTCTACTTTCCTTCATCATTCTCTGATCCCATGGGATTAGTCTTCCATCCACGAAGTAATTTTATATATGCTTACGGTAATCAGGTAGGTACCCATGAAACCTCTTATTCTGGAATAGATATAAATCACTCATTTGCTCAATGCTGGGAAGTTCTACCAATGATCTTTTCGATTATCCAGTTGGTCTTGAGAGGAAAGACCATGAATATTCATTGACTATTTCTTTTGTTCCAAACTTAGTAGCCCCCGTCTGTACCTTTGCAGTTAGTTACCTAGCTGATGAAGACGAGCCATGGGCACAATTGCCTTGAACTTGATCAACTTGATCATGTTTCTTTCCAACTCTAAGTAAAGTAGGTTTTACCAATAGCCCTTTAAAACTTATCACTAATGTCTTCAGCGCTTCATGTTTGCCTTTCCCTATTTGGCTTCATCACCTCTGGCTTCTCAGCACTGAAGTTCTTTAAGCACCTTCTAGAACTATCCTTCATTGTCTGGACTCACGTTCAGTCCGTCAGTTCTGGGTTAATCAAGTGAAAGCATAGTAGAGCAGTGGGTGTACCATCTACGGAACATCAGGCGGTTGAAAGGTAAGGAGGACCAAGAAGGAAACTTGAGAACTGACAATGAAGTCACTAGATAGGCACTCAATTCCCTTTCTCAGTAATGTGTCTCAAATGCCACTAGGCCAAGCCCCAAACTACTGCTGTTGGGTTATCCCATGTGCTACAGAACCACAGGCTAGTACTTGGCTGTACAGAAGCAGGTTGTCACGATTTTTCTTTGGTGCTATGGCTGGGTGGGGTCAGACCACCAACATTTAGGTTAGTAGCCAACTGTAAACCACTTGTGCCACCCAGAAACCTTTTCAAACACCTATAGAGTCCATGCAAAATGAAGGTATTTTTAAAGCCCTTTTTTCCCCCCGGTCTTTTTGAACCTCCCAAACTTCTTTTAGTGTACGCCCTGATTGTTCAAACCTCTAATATCCCTTTTTTGCCCCTGAAAGGGTGTCACCTCTGGAATGGGCGCCACAACTTCTATTCTGTGTTATTGGTGGAGAAAATAACAGGAAACCATCTAAATGAAATTCCTGGCCTTGAGCTTCTCCAAGGGCCCACCTCGTGCTGCTTTTCCCTCGATCCCTCCCACTGCAGTCGAGCCCTGCGGCATTAGTTAGCCTGTTGCTCTCCTTTTGGCTAAAGGGGCTCATTCATTATCTTCTGTTGTGGAATTCCTAGGGCCAGCCCACCAACCATTGTATGTCAGGAAAATGAGGTTATCCTCTATTTGTAAAGACTTACAACCTCAGAAACCCCATACAGGGTTGTCTTGAGTCAGAATTAACTCTATGGCAGTAGTTTTAGGGCTTTGTCTGTTTGTCTAAATCTTAGAAACTCATGGCGGCTCAAGGAGCTATTCTGATTGGTTGTGGAAGCTACAAAATATGTAGATTAGACATTTTTTTCAGTATGTGCTCAGCCTCAAAATTATTTTGGGGTGTTTTGACTATGGACAGCCAAGTAACTGGAATGGAAGTTCAAGGGCATCTTCCAAAGCTAAATTGAGAAATGGGATTAACAATTAAACAGAAGTTTAGGATGGCCAAGGAATTGGAACAACCCATATGGGAACAGATGATGTGTAGCTAAAAGAGTGAATCATTTTGAGGTTACAAAATAGCGCTCAGTTAAGTGAGAACATAAACTATGGTGAGAACCATATTGTGTATATTTCAGAGATGAGCAAGTCTATCAAGCAACATCTAAGGCAGTGTTCTGATCAGAATACTCAGAGATTGGGAGTAAACAATGCTGATGCATTACTCCCTGGGGCTCAGGGTTTATATTTGATGTCAGCTTTCAACATTTTCCTAAATATTTCAAGTATTTGTGATAAAGGGCCAGGAGAAGTTGCATTATTTACGTTCAGTGATTTCAGAGTGGCCAAACAAGAGCTGAGTTGTGGCAGAGGACAGAAATAGCGGCCAAGAACACCACTGCTAGGGCCTTTTTGATATCGTGAGATTGGTGGTTTAAATCCATCAGCCTCACTGTAGCAGAAAGATAAGACTTGTCTGCTCCCATAAAGATTTACAGTCTGGGCAACCCTATATAGGGCCGCTATGAGTTGGAATTGACTTATGACGATGGGTTTGGTCACTGTGTTCAAAATCAGTCTGTTAGTACCCTAAAGCAACATGTATCTTTCATTGCTTATAAGGCAGGTGTAGCCAGCTATGGTCCATCCACAGGTCAAATCCAGTCTGTGGTCTATTTTTTATAAATAAAGTTTTATCAGCCACTTCTATTTATTTACATATTGTTATGGCTGCTTTCATGCTAAAACAGACAGGGTTGGATAGTTGCAACAGAAACTGCATGACCTATAAAGCCTGAAGTGCTCACTACCTGACCTCTGGTGGTGGGTTGGCTAAGCATGTAGGCCTCATGTCTTTTTCTTTTTTTCTCTCTCTATCATATGGTTAGTTCAACTAGAATTGTTCAGTGTCTCAACACAAGAAGAAGTGAGGCTTGGGCTTGGGCCTAGCATACTATTGCTTCCCCCACATTTTGGGGGGCAAATCAAGTCACAAGACCAACCCACATTCAAGGATTATGTGTTAGTCTGGGTAGACTAGAGAAACAAATTCATAGACACTCATATATGTATAAGATAGAACTCTATATAAAAGAGCTTTGTTGTATATTGAAAAAACATCACAGCCCAGGCCATATCGAGTCCATAAGTTCTACATTAGCCCATATGTCCGATACTAGTCCATAAATTCCTATTTAGACTTACCCAGCACATGCAATGATGCCGAATGCAGGAAGATCACAGGCCAATGGGTAGAAGTCTTGTGGATCCAATGGCAGTGGAAGCATCTCAACACTGGCACAGGTCTCCACGGGTCTCCTCCAGCTCTCTGAATGTCTCCACAGCAGGAAAGGGAAGGCAGAGAGACTGGGTCTGGCCTCCAGTGAGCTATGTATGTTCTTCCCACCTTCAAATGAGGTCTTTAAGCTGTGACGACTGACAGGCTAGACTCCACCCCTTCGCTCAAGTTGACAGTAGATTATGTAACTGCCACAGATTACCACCTCTTGATGGAAGTATGAGGGCACTTCCCAGGGTTCTTGGAAAAATGGAATTTAAAACCAATAACATTTTCTATGAACTTTTGAAGCCCCCTTTCATATAGGGAAGGATGGGTAATTGGAAAACTTTTTTTGTAATGAATCTACCACAGAGGACTTTTAGAACACTGGTAATATTTTATTTCTTGATCTGGTCGCAGAAGTGAGTATCTCAAAAATTCAAACCAAACTCCCGGGCACTGAGTCGATTCTGATGCATAGAGACCCTACAGGACAAAGTAGGATTTCTGAGACTATAAATCTAAAGTCATAGAACATTTCCTCCTTCTCCCACGGGGAGGCTGGTGGTTTTGAACTACTGACCTTGCAATTAGCAGCCCCACTGGTAACCCACTACACCACCAGGGTCTGCTTTGAAATAATTCATTGGCCTGTGCACATGTTATTTGCACACTTTTTTAAAAATCATTTTATTGGGGCTCATACAATTAATCACAATACATAGATCAATTGTGTAAAGCACATCTATACATTTGTTGCCCTCATCATCCCCAAAATTCGCTTTCCTCTTGGGTTCCCGGAATCAGCTCATTTTCCTTCTTTCCTCTCCCCATCCCTCCCCCCTCCCCCATGAACCCTTAATAATTTATAAATTATTATTAGATCTTATCTTACACTGCCAGGCTTCTCCCTTCACCCACCCCTCTGCTTATTTGCACACTTTTTATGTTTGGTGAACTTCAATAAAAACTTGCCTTTAAAAAGCAGACTCAGAGAGAAACAACTTGATGATGCTGTTACAACTTCCAAAATCGTGTTGCAGAAATATAAAACCCTCAGTGAGGCTCTAGAGTGAGGTTCAAATATGTGTCCTATCAGGTTTACAAAAGTAGATTGTTAATGGTAGCAATGAGGACTATATAACACCACTCCAGGGGAACAGACAACGGGGAGTAATAATAATAATATTTAATATAATAACTAGGGTGGGGTAGGGCTGAGATAAAAGGGAGCTGATACCAAAGAGTGCAAGACAAAAGAAAATGTTCTGAAAATGGTGGTGGCAACAATTGTACAATCATGCTCGATCTAACTGAACTATGGATTGTTATAATAGCTGAGCTCCCAATAAAATGGGAGGGGGGACAAAAATAGATTGTTTTGAATTTCTATAAACTCCGCCAGAGAATAAAAAAAGATGGGACTCTTTCCAATTCTGTTTATGAGGAGAGCATGACTTTTATAAGAAAACTAGCAAAGGCCTGTACAAGGGAAAAAGTCATCGGCTGGTTTCACTTTTGGCCAAAGATAGAAAATGTCAGGCGATTGACTCCAATGACATGTGAAGAGCTACAAGCATAACCAATTCAGGCTTACCTCAGGACTAAAGGATGGTTTGTTATCATAAAATCTGAGTATATATAATTCCCTTCATGGACAGATTAAAATGACAAGTGTGTCTATTTTTAATAGATACATTTAAAGTATTTGGTAAAATTTAGTACCTTTCATAATAATACCCCCCAAAATAGAATCTTCTGATGAACAGAAAAATATCACAGTCTCACTGGTGTAAAGGGTAATTAACTACTTCCAAAACCAGGCATCATATATAGGGAATTTAGCACATGTTCTTGGGAAGGAAGCTATACTCACTAATATGCCACCAAGATGGTGCTAAGTACATTTTCTTGAAATCAAGAAAATTTAAAGAAATGTTTTCTGCTGTTATTTCTATTTATTATTTCACTGTAAGGTATAGCCAGTACAGTAAGCAAAGAAAATAAAGACATGAGTGTTGGAATGGAGGAAATAAAATTCTACTGATCTTCAAAAAAATAGTATTGTCTCGCTAGCAAATCCGAAAGATGCATGCACATTACTCTAATGAGTAGAAGAGTGAAGTAAGGTGAATGGCAAGGCAAATTGCATTTCCATACATGACCAGTTACAAACTTTAATGCATGACTTTTAAGACACCTTTTACAATAGAAATACATAGCTATAAAGCTCTTATGAATAATCTAAAGAAAGTTTTTTAAGAACTAAATGTAGAAAATTATAAACTTTACCGAGAAACAGCTAACATGGGCTGATCTATACATTTCAATTTTTCACTCAAATTAATTGAGAGATCTAATTACAATCATAATCAAAACCCCAACAATATTTCTTATGTTGCTTAAATGGACTCTAACAATGCATATGGGAAAACAGAAAAAACAAGTAGAGTCAACACATGTTGATTAGAAGATTAAGGAGGAAGGATGTATACTATATAAATGTTTATTGGTACATCTACAGTAATTATCATCATGATAATTGACCAGCAGAATAAGAGAAAGCTCACAAGCAGACCCATTCATTACTAGAATGTTGATTGCGTTAGTCTGGGTTGTCTACAGAGACAAATCCAGTGACACTCATTATATAAGAAAAAGCTTCAATATCAAGAAGCAGTTATATATCCTGAAGGCAACCCAGCCCAGTCCACCTCAAGTCCCTAAGACTGATGCTCGTCCATCCATAAGTCCTTCTTCTGACTCACAGACTCCCATGCTGGTGACACAGAAAGGTGTACAAGCAAGAAGATCATAGACCGGTGGGTGCAGAGTCCTGTGGATCCTAGGTCAGTGGGTACATGACAGGGCCCTAGCAGCTCTCAGGATCAGGTGGCCCACATGAGCACCCTGGAGGCAGAGAATCCCAGCAGGCAGAAAGGCAGAGGGGTAGAGAAAGAACAGTTCCCAGTGTCTCTAACTCTTACACCAAAAGTCTTAAGATACCAAGAAGGTGTTATCATGCTGCAACCTGATTGACAGGTTGAACTCCGCCCCTAGCCAGAAGTGTCTAGTTGACCTAAAATCATCTAACTGCCACATTGATGGAAGCCAAATGGGCACTGTAGATGT